CGACTTGAAGTATAAAGTCAACCTTTCTGAAAGCACGTGTTATATACATATTTGTTATGCCAATGTACTTCTCTTCATTTATGTTCACAATCCAGTCTGTTGGTAAACGTTACTCTGTTCCCCTTTATTTTAACGTCAGGGTTTTCACTACTGAACGCAACAGATAAAGGTATTTGTCTATACATTTAATTCGGATAAAAATAAACCATTTACTCTTTCTTTGCTTCAGCTTCTTCTCTAGCTTTCTTCGCCAGTAGTCTTGGGTTCTTTTGTCTTCCAGCAGCTAATGCAGCAAGTTGTTTTTCACTAAGTTTTCTCTTTGGTCTCTCTGGCTTTTGTTCTTGTTTTTGTTCCTTCAGTTCGGATAAAATTTGCTCACGAATTTCTTTCTTCAATGCTTCAACATCTATGACCCCTTGGGTCTTGTCCGTAGGGCTTGTCTGAGTCATTTGACTGCAGATAAAAAACAAAATTAAAACTTTAACCGATGTAAAATGAGCTTGTCAAAATCAGAGCGAGAGTCTATTATATTAAATGACGCATGAGGAATACAACATCCTTTCTATTACGTAAGTCAGAGTAAAGATGGTAAAATATATGTAAGAAAAAGAAAGGTTCCATTAGCGAATGCAGAAAGCGACAACATTAAGGTGCATGGCACCGAGGGCGAAGCCCATATAAAACCTTCTGTTCAAACTGAGCCACCAATAGAACCAGAAGAAAAGAAGCCAGATGTACTTTCAATAACGAACCAAGAGCTTATTGCAAAGTTCGTGAATTTCATTGAAAACAAACCGAGTCAAAGAACCCTGACCCGCCAGTGAAAGAAGTTGAGACAAAAGAGAATGTACAGTTCATTGAAAATGTCAAGAAACAACTTCCACCACGAATGCCAAGAAGAAGAGTGAGAATAATGAAGTAAATAGATATTTTTATCTGAAGTAAATACATGCAGAACGAACAGCTAAACGAATTTACTCCAGCAGAGCATATTCATCAGATTCGCTCATATTTCGATATCATAGACAATGCAGTTCAAATTGGTGACACTAATAGAAAATATTCTGACGCAAAGATTCCATCACACCTGGAACTGCTAAAGATAACACATGGGTAACATTCAATCTCTCACCTCCTGGTGAAAATATGTTGGACCTTTACAATACATTCATTACGTATAAAATGGAAGGTCAATTTATTGTAGATAAAGAAATTGGTTCAGGTTCCAATAAAACAAACCCACCAGGATTTTGGATTGGTTTCGATGACGCTTTCTATGCAGTTGCTGGATATCAAATCCTTGCAAATGGTCATATCGTATATTCTGACAACGCAAGAGAAGAAGCATATATAACTTCAAACTCACAAACTACCGAACAAATAAAGAAAGTAGATGTTTTCTCAAAGACTCGACATGAAGATGTATGGAGTCATTCGGGAACATGCAGAACAGGACAAATTGTTAGTGGGCCGATTACAGCAGGAAAATCATTTGATTTTAAGCTTCGTTTAAGAATTCCTGTTAGAAGATTCCTTCCATTAGAAGCTATTCGATTTATTCCAGCTTTTGCAGGAAACATTCAGCTTAAAGTAAAGTTCAGTAGCGACGCCTTACAATGCACATCTATATCTGTAAATGATATCATTGCTTTCAATCCAACTCTTAAAGTTGTATTTGCTTCAGATTCAAATCCACCGACAAATAAATTTGTTCCATGGAATGAACCATTCACTATGATAACGAAGGCAGTAGAAGCTAGTGGAACAGTTACTATTACAACTGCAACCCAGCAACTATTTCGAACAAAGATGGATTTTAATGAATGTTTCATTCATCCAAAGTCATTCTCTTTAGACCCTAACATTTATACAGAACTTGTAGAACATTATACAAACGAGGCTTTATGTTTTCCTGTTAAAGTTATGGATTGGATTCCTATGGACGGTTCATTCTCAAAGAATACAGATAGTTCAAGTGCAACATTTACAGCAGCTTATACGCCTATTAATGTTAAAAGTATTTGGGCACTATTTAGAAAGAAAGACAACTATTATGTTAATTTTGAGAATCCTAAGTTTAAATATCTTCAGCTTTCCATGGGAGCTTATGGAAATATGCCTGCAGAACCTGAAAAATCATATGGACCTGTATTTTATGAAATGGTTGCGAACGCCTGCAATACAAACAATGATATGATAGGATTTAATGAAGATGTTATGAGGTCATTGGTGGATGATGGTAGTGTGGAACATAAATGGGATAGCTATGACAACACACATTTCTTATGTGGTTTTCCAACAGAAGTGGACTTTTGCTTCCAGCAAGGTCAAACTTCAACAGCTCCAATAACATACAAATTGTCTGTTAAAGGACCTATTGAACTAGCAACTGAAAATGTACTAAAGCCACTTATTGGATTTATGAGGGATTGTTGCTTTGCCATTCAGGTAAGACAGTCAGGCATCCCCATAATAAGATTAGATGACTATAACTTAGCCGCGGACGACAGTGAGGAATAAAGGATGAACGTTTATTTTAAAGCTTATAAATGAGTTCTTCATCAAGCTCTCGTGAACCTTCACCATCTGTGAAACAAACTTTACCAAACGATTATGGAGCACCTATTGAATATTTCTTACGAGCTGCACAATGGCAAAGAGCAGTCTCACCAAGGTTAGGTGTTCCACCAGCTCCTGTCAAAAATAGCATTTGGTCAAGTCCTTATATAAGATATGGTCTCCCACTAGGTTTGCTAGCTACAGCAGGAGCAGTTATGATGTTGAAAAGAAATAAAGCAAATGTTGTAAATAATACTGAAGTAGTTGAAGTTAAACAAACTCCAACACCTTCGCCAAAACCAACGTCAAAACCAATGCCTTCACAAACAACACCTTCAATGACTCATGAACCTATGGAAGTACAAACTCCTGTTCAAAAGTCAACTCCTAAACCGACTCCAACATTTAAACCAGAACCTACTTCTCAAATAAATCGTAAAACTCCTGCGTTTCCTTACTGAAAAAATAACGTTATTTTTATTTAATATTAAAATTTTTATTTGATTGAAATGACGACTAAAGTCACTGAAGCAATGAAACAAAAGTTTTTGGTAGAATACATTAAATCAGGAGCGGTTCCAGAAGGTTTTTACATTCATACTATGAAGGATGGTAGAGTTCAGTTTAGAAAGATAAAGCAACCATTAGATAAAGAAGGAATTTTGAGAAAGATTAAACTTCATGAGGACAACATTGCTGAACTTAAGAAGAAGCTAGAAGAGTTGGAGAAAGGAAGAGAGTTATAAAGCAATGAATTCAACAGGATAGAAATGAGGTTAGAAATCGGGTTAGATATACCCATCTACCCTAAATTTATTTTTGTGCTATGTTTTCATACGTGTGAGGGTGGTGATATCATTTATTTTTAAGTTTATTTTTTTAAAATTATTTTTTATTTTATTTTTATATAAATGACGAAAACTATTGAGATAACAAACTACAACGGTCATGAGTTCAAGAATTTGTTCTTCGTTCCTCGTGAAAATACATTCTATCAGATACGAGGGAGAAAGGGTAAAGTTAGTTTGAGCGTTTACGACAACAAACATAATGGGAGATATATAAAAGCAATAGATACAAACGGTAAGCGTGTTTCATTAGCTTTGTCAAAACTTACTAACATTTATTTTGACAGTGACTTTGACTCTGACGATTGGAGCGACAGCAGCGATACTGAAGAATATGAACTATTGTGTGAAGCACAGCAATGGGAAGAGTTGCAATACTTTTGTAAGTGAGAACGTTTATTTTGTTGTAAACAGAAATTCATCAAAAGTGACACCTCAGAAAAGCTAAAATATTGAATTTTTGGAACTTTTGATAGAGCACGTTTTTAAATATTAATTAAAGTAAATGTATATTTTGTAAAGATTCTTTTTAATAAAAAAATAAAATTTTGAAGAAGAACACAAAATCTTCTGAAAAATAATATCACATAAACTCATATTATTTTCTAATATATAACTATTTTATATAAAAATCAAATTCAATGATCTTAAAAGCGAAGGATAAACCTCAAAATTTACGAATATAATGAGTGGGAATATAATGCTTATCTATCATAAAACCATATGAAATATCAATTTTTGCTTTACGCCTAATTTTTGACGACAATTAGCAAAAAATGTTAAATGTTAACACTCAGTCTATTTGAATATGAAAAATAAAATTGACTTTGATTAAATGTTTTTATTTATCATGCAATTCTTCTTGCGACCAAAGATTTGAATAAAAGTTCAAAAAAAAGATAGCTTAAAAAATAATATACGGTAGTGTTTACTAATAGATGAATAGTATATAAATTCTATTAAAATGGATTTGATCCAAAAAAATATAAAACCAAAAATAATTGTTATAATTTAAATGAAGAAGTAATTTAAAACGATTTATTTATGATCAAATTTTATATATTAGAAAATAATATGAGTTTATGTGATATTATTTTTCAGAAGATTTCATTCTATATGCCTATGAAAAGTACTCTCAAAACTAACTTTTTCCTAATTATAATTAAATCTAGAATATTGTATTATGCTTAGTATTATTTCATTTTTCTCATTCAATTTAGAATTTACAAATGTCAAAAAATTGAGAGCTGTCACTTTTGATGAATTTCTGTTTATTACAAGAACGTTTATTTTTTACATTAGTGAAGTCGTTTGTGAAAACGTTAGTGAGGTGAAGTGGTTGGCGGCTTTATAAATATTTAAGGTTAAGTTGGTGCTTGTGTTTGTGTTGTAAAATATACGTTAACGGTTTTGTAAAGTGTCAAATTCACATATAATGGGTAAGGAGGCTCGCAGTGCCCCCGTACACATGATAGGTATATTAATTTTTATTATGTTCTTTCAAATTTTATATTGATAATAATCTTTTAATTTTATCATCGATTTGTTGTATTTGTGCTTACAAACTACTGCGACGCTCATCTTACTTTTTTCATGACTTTTAATATCCCATTCAAAAGTGGGATTCCGAAGATCTATTCTCAAAATCAAGATGCCCTTGCAATGATTCATTACCGGTTTGAACTCATCAAGAGTTTGCGAATTGTTATTTCATCAACGGAATCACTTAGCCGTATCATTACATCTCTTGCCGAACAAAATCCACAAGATTTACTTGATTTTTCAAACGAAGGTGGAATCTTTTTTGTTATCTATTCTCCATTTGAAAGAAAGGCTCTTGCTTATACAGACACAGCATTTCACATTGACAGCACATACAACCTCATTGAAAATAACTATCCATTGTATGTCATCACAAAGAAGTGTGAACATGACACAATATTTCCGCTTTTATATTTCATTGTTTATCCAGATACTGCTGATAATCTCCAAGTACTATTGGTCAGATATTTTCAGTGGTTGAACTATGAACCAAGAAGGTTTAGCTCAGATTGCAGTCGATATCGAAAATGGCTTTCCTTTAGCAAAACATGATTGGTGCGGAATACATGTTTTGATGGCCATATCCAAAAATCAAATTCAAGAAAAATTCAGCTCCAATGAAATTTTTTTGAATTTTATTTAATTATGGACTATCTAGTTTTCAGATACTCCGAGTATATAAGAATTTCCGAAAAAGTGACACCCAAAAAGTGACACTTTCAGTAGGGAGTAACACTTAAAAGTGACAATTTAAAATTCACAATAAATAAAAATAATAAATTTTTTAGTCTATTAAATTATTCTTTTCTTTGAAATCCTCTAAAAATTCTTCGAAATGTTCTAAAATATAATCTGGAGAATTATAACAAAATTCATTAATTTCTAACATATACGTATCTAACAATTCATTTGGAATTTCAAACGATCTTAAATATGTAATTGAATTTTGTATCTTCTCATTTATTTGAGAAAGTTTTTCTTCAGCATTTTCCAATAAAAATCTTAATGGATTCAAATTGGCTTCTTGATTCTGAACAAAATTTAATACCTGGTATAAACGTGATTGAACTTCTCTTTTCAATTTTGTTTTATAATCTGTCAATCGAGGCTCGCGAATTCTAATTGAAGGAATAAAACCTGTTTGAAGTAAATCGTTTTTAATACGATAAAAGTAATTGGGTGCAACTTCTTCTAAAAGATTTTTGACAAAAACATCAATTCTTTGATTTTTAACGCAGCCAAAATCGTGATATTTTATCTTTTTAAATAAAGATTCAGAAACGTTATTCACAACGGTTAATTCATTTGGTCTGGCAGCGGCTATCCACATCATAGCCAACAATTCCTTATACAAAATTCAAAAACTTGGGTGCAATCAGTTCTGATTGCACCCAAGTTTTTGAACTTTCTTGAGGGAATTAAAGGGTGAGAGATTTATAGTCTATCTATATATCTCCCACCCTCTAATTCCCTCCCTGACAGCGGGAAATTTTGTCTGAATGTTAAACTATTCAGACAAAGTTTCCCACTGTTTGCGAAGGAATTGTTGGCTATGATGTACTGATTCATGATCAGTACATCATAGCCAACAATTCCTTATATAAAGTTCAAAAACTTGGGTGCAATCAGAACTGATTGCACCCAAGTTTTTGAACTTTCTTGAGGGAATGGAAGAGTAAGAGGTATACATTATGAATATATACCTCTTACCCTTCCATTCCCTCTCTGACAGCGGAAAACTTTGTCTGAATGTTAAACTATTCAGACAAAGTTTCCCGCTGTCAGCGAAAGAATTGTTCCATCTGGTGCATAGAGTGTGAATCTATGCACCAAATGGAGCAAGTCCCTCGCGAAATTGCCAAAACTTGCGTCGCATTTCAAAGATTGCGACCCAAATTTTGGCGATTTCTAGTAGAGATGGAGTATTTTGAGTCACTGACCTATATGCAGTGGCTCAAAGGGCTCCATCTCTACTTTGAAGCAAGGAAACTTTCCTCGAAATTTTGATAATTTGAAGAAAGTTTTCAAGCAATTAACAAAGGATTACTCGCTATGAGGTAAAAATTCTAGATTTTCACCTCATAGCGAGAGCTTCCCTTTCATTGCTTGAAAACTTTCCCCAGCTTCAAAATTGGGGAAAGGGCTGTAAAGTCGACTCTGATACCAGCAGGTACCAGAGTATTTAAAAGAGAAGCCCTCGTACGAGTTTCTATGAAGACCTTCTCATTCAAGAAGATCTTAATAGAAAATCGTACGAGGGCATTGGAAACTCGCGTCTGGTACATGTTGGTACCAGAGTGTTTGAGATTTGAAGACTCTGGTACTAACATGTACCAGAATTTATGATGAATTTAAGATGGACCATTATAAAATGGTAGCGGTTTGTTTCAAAAAATTTTAGATGAGATTTGCATAGATATAGATTATATGATTTATACATATGAAAAATAATATATAAAAATATAATTTTGAGATAATTATGTAAATAATATTTTAAATATTTGAATTTGAGGTATAATTTTATAGTAAAATATATTAAAAGATATTATATAAATATTGTAAAATAATATAAGTAATAAAAATTGAGACCCCCTCCCTGTTTTTGATGTTTTGTCACTTTTTGAAACAATAAGAATTACCGAAAAAGTGACAAAACATCAAAAACAGGGAGGGGGTCTCAATTTTTATTACTTATATTATTTTACAATATTTATATAAATACTCTTTATAATATATTTTACTATAAAATTATACCTCAAATTCAAATATTTAAAATATTATTTACATAATTATCTCAAAATTATATTTTTATATATTATTTTTCATATGTATAAATCATATAATCTATATCTATGCAAATCTCATCTAAAATTTTTTGAAACAAACCGCTACCATTTTATAATGGTCCATCTTAAATTCATCATAAATTCTGGTACATGTTAGTACCAGAGTCTTCAAATCTCAAACACTCTGGTACCAACATGTACCAGACGCGAGTTTCCAATGCCCTCGTACGATTTTCTATTAAGATCTTCTTGAATGAGAAGGTCTTCATAGAAACTCGTACGAGGGCTTCTCTTTTAAATACTCTGGTACCTGCTGGTATCAGAGTCGACTTTACAGCCCTTTCCCCAATTTTGAAGCTGGGGAAAGTTTTCAAGCAATGAAAGGGAAGCTCTCGCTATGAGGTGAAAATCTAGAATTTTTACCTCATAGCGAGTAATCCTTTGTTAATTGCTTGAAAACTTTCTTCAAATTATCAAAATTTCGAGGAAAGTTTCCTTGCTTCAAAGTAGAGATGGAGCCCTTTGAGCCACTGCATATAGGTCAGTGACTCAAAATACTCCATCTCTACTAGAAATCGCCAAAATTTGGGTCGCAATCTTTGAAATGCGACGCAAGTTTTGGCAATTTCGCGAGGGACTTGCTCCATTTGGTGCATAGATTCACACTCTATGCACCAGATGGAACAATTCTTTCGCTGACAGCGGGAAACTTTGTCTGAATAGTTTAACATTCAGACAAAGTTTTCCGCTGTCAGAGAGGGAATGGAAGGGTAAGAGGTATATATTCATAATGTATACCTCTTACTCTTCCATTCCCTCAAGAAAAGTTCAAAAACTTGGGTGCAATCAGAACTGATTGCACCCAAGTTTTTGAACTTTATATAAGGAATTGTTGGCTATGATGTACTGATCATGAATCAGTACATCATAGCCAACAATTCCTTCGCAAACAGTGGGAAACTTTGTCTGAATAGTTTAACATTCAGACAAAGTTTCCCGCTGTCAGGGAGGGAATTAGAGGTGGGAGATATATAGATAGACTATAAATCTCTCACCCTTTAATTCCCTCAAGAAAGTTCAAAAACTTGGGTGCAATCAGAACTGATTGCACCCAAGTTTTTGAATTTTGTATAAGGAATTGTTGGCTATGATGTGGATAGCCGCTGCCAGACCAAATGAATTAACCGTTGTGAATAACGTTTCTGAATCTTTATTTAAAAAGATAAAATATCACGATTTTGGCTGCGTTAAAAATCAAAGAATTGATGTTTTTGTCAAAAATCTTTTAGAAGAAGTTGCACCCAATTACTTTTATCGTATTAAAAACGATTTACTTCAAACAGGTTTTATTCCTTCAATTAGAATTCGCGAGCCTCGATTGACAGATTATAAAACAAAATTGAAAAGAGAAGTTCAATCACGTTTATACCAGGTATTAAATTTTGTTCAGAATCAAGAAGCCAATTTGAATCCATTAAGATTTTTATTGGAAAATGCTGAAGAAAAACTTTCTCAAATAAATGAGAAGATACAAAATTCAATTACATATTTAAGATCGTTTGAAATTCCAAATGAATTGTTAGATACGTATATGTTAGAAATTAATGAATTTTGTTATAATTCTCCAGATTATATTTTAGAACATTTCGAAGAATTTTTAGAGGATTTCAAAGAAAAGAATAATTTAATAGACTAAAAAATTTATTATTTTTATTTATTGTGAATTTTAAATTGTCACTTTTAAGTGTTACTCCCTACTGAAAGTGTCACTTTTTCGGAAATTCTTATATACTCGAGTATTTATATAAATATTGTAAAATAATATAAGTAATAAAAATTGAGACCCCCTCCCTGTTTTTGATGTTTTGTCACTTTTTCGGTAATTCTTATTGTTTCTATCCAAAAAATCAAATTCAAGAAAAATTCAGCTCCAATGAAATTTTTTTGAATTTTATTTAATTATGGACTATCTAGTTTTCAGATACTCCGATCCAAAAGAGTCAGAAAAGGCATATAGTGACCTTATTGATGTTCTTTCAAAAGAACCTCTTGCGATTAACTATTTTAATCGCCAATGGAGGCCATATCTCCATTTGTGGATGGCGCAGTACCGTGGTGATGGAGATTCAACAAACAACATCTCGGAGAGCCATTTCAAGCAGCTGAAACATTCATTCTTTCTTGGAAAGAAGCATATGTGTGTTGATGATTTTTTCCTTAATATATTCACAAGTGTAATTCCAACATTTTTAATCAAAGTTCATGCTGCAAATAATGACAAAAGAAAACAAACAGTTAATCTTCTGCAAAAAGCTCAAGAAGATTCAAGATATGAAACAGAAATTATCAGAGACGAAGTCTTAAGGCAATTGAAGTTCGTTTGCGAAGTTGTTGAAGAAAGAGGCATTGAACCAGAGCTCATCTCAAGATAAGTTCCGTCTTTGGAAAAAGCAGTAATGAAAATCATTTCTGTACCAGAGCATTATACGAATGAAAATTAAGAATTATCACAAGCATGCATAGAAGCTATATTCAAAATTTGGGGGCAGTTGGCCTGTATCAAGGGTAGTCAGCATACCTCTTAAAATGTAAACCTCTGAGTATTGAATTGGGATTTGTAAACCTCACTACTCTAATTTTGATTGAGAGGGCAAGGCTCTGGACGCTTAATTTGAGGGCTTTTTTTCCTATGAGATTAAGAAAAGTTTTAAGACGAAGATTTTTACTATCTATATACAAGACAAATAATAATAATAAATAGTTTTTTTTGAAAAAAAAACAATATAAATATTCAATTAAATCCAATTGATTTTGGGTCGAAATTAAGGAATACATACTAGATTCCATGTAGTATCCTCTTTTCGAAATGAAATTTTGTAATTTGGAAAAAATACAAAATAAGATTTTGTTTTGGAAGGATTTTGAGCTTTGTTACTAGAAATTCAGATTTGTAGTTCCAATACAATGTGACCATACAAATAATGGAAACATCCAGCAGGAAATGATTTGAATTTGATGGCGAATTAAGAAATTCTGGGGCGGTGCTATGTGAGGTGAAATTTATCATACACCGATTGGACTTTTTGCTTTCCCGAAAACATAGAATTTATATTGGGGGCCAAATATATGTGCATATATCTATACTAATCAAGCCATATTTACTCATATAGTATTGAGGAATAATGTGTTTTATATAAGATATGAATTTCAAAAATTTTGTTTTATTTCATTTTGAATACAATGAAGTATCTATATATATACTCTATATTGTGTTTGTAAACTCATTTTGGTCACATATCCATTTTTTAATCTGCATCTTATTTGAGATTTCAAATTTTTATCGACAATCATATATGATCACATCGGCATTTGGAGATACTTATCTTGCATCTCCAAATATCCATGTGATCATTGTATTTAATTGTATATTGACCAAGAGATTCCGATGCAGAATATTCAAAGTAGATAGTTTTTCCATTCTGTACACATAGGTGCAGTGTGCCAGTGATAGACCCTGCACCAATATGTGCAGAATGGGAAAAGCTTGCACTTTTACCTTTCGATGCGAATGTTGCAAACACTTTTCCCATTCTGCACATATATATGCAGGGTCTATCACTGGCACCCTGCACCAATATGTGCAGAATGGGAAAAGCTTGCACTTTTACCTTTCGATGCGAATGTTGCAAACACTTTTCCCATTCTGCACATATATATGCAGGGTCTATCACTGGCACCCTGCACCAATATGTGCAGAATGGGAAAAGCTTGCACTTTTTGCTCGCGATGTAAATGTGTCAGACACAATTCCTGATTTGCTCATATATATGCAGGGTCTATCACTGGCACCCTGCACCAATATGTGCAGAATGGGAAAAGCTTGCACTTTTACCTTTCGATGCGAATGTTGCAAACACTTTTCCCATTCTGCACATATATATGCAGGGTCTATCACTGGCACCCTGCACCAATATGTGCAGAATGGGAAAAGCTTGCACTTTTTGCTCGCGATGTAAATGTGTCAGACACAATTCCTGATTTGCTCATATATTTGCAGGGTCTATCACTAGGACCCTGCACCTATATGAGCAAAACAGGAATTGCTTGCACTTTTTCACTTGAATGTGATTCATTGAATTTCAATTCGAGAAAGGGGTTTACAAATGCAGGGTATTGTTCCTTTACCCTGCATTTGTAAACTCCTTTCTTGTAAAACCTTCCTCCAAAAAAATATAAAGATCACATTCTTCTTAAAACTCTCAAAATCTCATTATTTCAATCTTATAATCATAAATAAACATACTCTTTCTATCTAATATTTCTCTATTCCTTAATTTTCTTATGAAATTTGTTATTTTTTATTTAATTTTTAAAATTTTCAATTTTTTTTGGATAATTTTATTCAATTTTATGATAATTTATTCTATTCTCATTATATAATAATATTGTTCATTTTTATTTTTTTAATTTTTCAATGCATACGATAATTTTTAATTCAATTTTTAAACGAATGTTTTGATGGATGAGCTTACTGAGCATAGGCTCATCCCATCAAAACATTCCCTTAAAAACTCTGGCCTTCATCGAGGCCAGAGTTTACAATTCATCAGCTCAGAGCCAAGTTCCTCGACGGTCTTCCTCATTAGGCCCGATCCGAGAGGAACTTGGCTCTTCATTAAAATCACAAGCTCTGGCCCAAGCAAAGGCCAGAGCCTGCAAATACAATCCTCAGGGCCGAGTTTTGCGATGATCGTCGATCATGTCGACGGTCTCGCAAGAACTCGGCCCTGAAAGACATACAAATACAGGCTCTGGCCCTAGCAAAGGCCAGGGCTTCGCTTACTGTCCTCAGGGCCGGCTTTCTCAAATGCCGTCCTGATCTAGGGCGGCAGGAGAGGAATCCGGCCCTGGGAACATCCAAATACGAAGCTCTGGCCCAAGCAAAGGCCAGAGCCTGCAAATACAATCCTCAGGGCCGATTTTGCGATGATCGTCGATCATTGACGATCTCCTCTCATTTCGGCCCTGAAAGAAACAAATACAGGCTCTGGCCCTAGCAAAGGCCAGGGCTTCGCTTACTGTCCTCAGGGCCGGCTTTCTCAAATGCCGTCCTGATCTAGGGCGGCAGGAGAGGAATCCGGCCCTGGGAACATCCAAATACGAAGCTCTGGCCCAAGCAAAGGCCAGAGCCTGCAAAATACTCAATGTTCAACAATTACAAATCTCATGTCACCCAGAAAGCTATGAAGGAAGCCCTTTCTCTAGGTTAGGACTTCCTTCATAGCTTTCTGGTACTGAGTGGAGTGGTTTTGGCTTCCATTGCCGCTCACTCCAGTAAGATCACGAGATTGTACAAAAGCCACGGCAAGTGCATTCCAACACCATAAATACACTTGCCGTGGAATACGGTTGCGAGTGCCTGCTGCTTCAACCGAGATTTGCAGCAGACACTCGCAATGATAACTAAAATTCATCATAAAGCTGGGAAATGGGCCTTTTCTCAAGGTCAAAGCCCATTTCTCAGCTTTATGATATTGAAACGAACATTTTGAGAGGTTATTACTGTTTTTCCCGGAATCATCTTGAGATTCCGGGAAAGTCATAGCAAGTGTAATCTATTAGCATAGATACACTTGCTATGACACATATATGCCAGCATCTGCTGCTTACCCCAAATAAGTAGCAGATGCTCGGCATCACATCTTGAGATCCTTATTATCTGCGTATTTTTCATTTTAATATATATAAATGTGTGTGTCTAACACAAGTCTATATGCGCCATGTAAAATATACACTAATACACACATATTGATCATAATTAATAAGATATCAAACTATAAAAACTGAGATATTACTATAAACTATATGTATTATTATTATATAGGTACCATACTATAATGTCATATGAATATTATTGAAATTAAACACACTTTATATAATTTTATAATGTGAATAACTTGGGTTATAATTTTTTTACGTAATTCCTACACGAAATGATCGGCATTACCCTAGTCTATCTGCGTGCAAAATACCAAGGAACAAATCAAATACTCACCATATCTTTTTTTAAAAAGGTCCAATCGGTGTATGGTGATTTTCACCTCACATGGCACAACCCCAGAAATTCTACTTGACCTTATAACACAAATGGAAAAGCATCCATTTTCTGCTAGTTTAGGGCTGCTTTTCGGCTTGTTAATTCATTTATCCAGCATATCACAAAATAATAAACGAGCATTTTTTGTTCAGAAAATTGAAATTGCGTTGTTTCATCAGAATTGATGCACAAACTAACTGTAGTATATTAAAAATCATTAAAATGTCTTGATTTTGAGTTTCAAAATATTTTTGATTAAAAATGGAATCGAAATTACAAATTTTTAATAAAAACAAGCCATCTATGATGCATACTGTTATAAATATATGAGAAAGGCATGACTAACAAAATTAGATGTTCACATTTATTCAACATTAAATTTGTTTGTTTTGAACTGGCAATATAAGAAAATCATATTGCATTTCATGCACGTTTTTTCTCTCAAAAAATTGAATTGCTATTCAACTGCGATTTTGAGATGACTATAGGATGAATCCCAGGAGCTAGAATTCTAGGGTTAGATGACACCCACTTAGTACTTTTATTTGTATATGTTTTAATGGAATTTGGTGAGGGGTAATGAAATTCGTATCTAATTATGAGAGGGCATCCACATTTTGCATGTTTTTCGTCTTTGATAACGGTCTATTGACCATGCTTTGAGACGGAAAAAAAATAATAAAAAAAAAATAAAGGTACGCTGTTGAGTCTGCATCGGTAGTGGTGCAAGAATTGATATGTATTAAACTGCTCGTCAAAAAGCGCAGGTCCGATCATATTTTTGAGTCAACTCATACAATTAATTCTATGAGTTTCTCTCAAATTGGTGTCAAAATCAGACCTGCGCTTTTTGAGACATTCAATTTTAACCTTTATTCCTAAATTAACAAATAAATAAGATATATCTAATAAGGGTTCTTTTACAATGCCAAATTCTGCAATTGTCGGCATTTTCAATCTAAATATGCGGGATCGCAATTTCAAATTTCAGCATTTATCTGCTGATTAGGGCGCACATCAGTGAGGGTGGACTGTGTGGGAAAGGATTTCCAGCCCAAGAAGGCTAACTCAAAGCTTTATGACCGCATAGGAAGGCTCCGACGCCTCCATTAAAATATGTAAACTTCTCAAAATTGAGAGACCTGCGCTTTTTGATTATCAGTTTAATCCTTTATTTTGAGAATTTGACAAAACATGATTCAGATTGTTTTGGCTGCACTTACGCCCCTATGACATGGCCTCCAATTCAGATGTTTAAGGTTAATATTCAATAACGCTTCACGCCATTGTCAAAAATTTGAATAAAAGTCAGATGGGCGTAAGTGCAGCCTTATT